GAGAAATGATCTTGTCCCTCGATGTTTCCTACAAATATATGATGACAGTACCTTCGAATTGCTAAGGTATCCTTATATGTTACCTTCAATGACCATAACGATAACCCTACGCCTGTCCCCTCACATCCAATGGATGGGGCTACCTACCAACTAATGGTATGGATAGCACCATCCCTAACGGAGAAGGAAAAGGATAATGGAAGACCTTTTAGTTGGTAAGATACACTTAATTTCTTGCTCACAAACTAAAATAATTTTCACACCTCACACTTTCAAAACAACTACTTTCAAACGCTTTATAAACACTCTTGAGGACTGATACAAGGGTTATTATAAAGCATACTATCTTACATTGGTATTTTCAAAACTGCCTTACATTGTCATTTTCAAAACCTTTTCAAAGCACACACAAAGCAAATCAAAGTGAGCTAATCAATTAAGAGCCCGTAGATAACTACGAATGAAGAGGGTGCTAACACCTTCCCTTTTCATAACTTACCCCCGAACTCAAAATCTATCAAGGTCTTTCTTGTTCTTTTCTCCCTTTCCTTATTGGATAAAAGAAAAGTCGGTGGCGAATCTAGCTATCTGCAATATTTGCAATAAAACACAAAATCAAGTCAGTTCTCCCGTCGTGTTACAGAACTGGCGACTCTACTGGGGAATTTTTTAAAAAAAGAGGGGTTACCTTAGGGATAGATCATTTTTACTTTCTTTGTTTGTTTGATTTATATTTGGGGCTTTGCTCGGGTTTAATTTCTTGCAAAGCTCCTATACTCAGATCTGGGGACATTTTAGGTAAGTAGAAATAAATCATGAAAACTGTACGGTGTAGACCGATATGGTTGAAGTGATGGCTACGTCAGTGCGACATTGTGTTCCTTGAATCAGTCGAGGATAACACTAGGCTTCCGCATGGTGTCATAAGCACTAACTGACCTTTAGAACCTTAATTGAACCAACTTAGCCATTAGAAAGTAGTGAGATGGCCGACTTTGGTGTAGTCCAAAGTTGGTTGATACTCGATGCTACGCACATTGAGATTCGACTCCCGGGATATTTCAGTGCCATTTCAGTTGCTCTGCTGAAATAATGCCTGAGAGAAAGATCGGTGATATGAGACTCCTAGGACCTGGTTACTATTTTTAGGACATGTTGAGCCACCTAAACTTCAAGAGGGTACTTACCTATGAACCTCATGCAAGCCTTTAAACCTAATGCCTTTTGTGTGATTTGCTTGTGCTTGCTATCTTGTTTAAACATAACATTATAAAATCATAACATCATAACAAGAATTTTTACTGATCATTTCTAGGATCAAGATATTTATCTTTGTTCTGTTTTGCAGGCTATGGCCTCCGCTCGCAGAAATACTATCCGAATCAACTTCATGGGAATACCTTCCAAACTTAAAGAATTAGTCTCAAAGGTTCCCGAAAGCTCTCAGTTCAACAAAAGACATGGTTATTTTCTCAGCTTGGTTATCTCCGGTTTTGAATAAGGTATGATGACCGTTTTATTCTAGTTCTTTGATCCTAAACACCATTGCTTTAATTTCCCCAATTATCAGTTGGTGCCCATAATGTAAGAGTTCTCTAATTTACTTGGGGTGCCTATACTAGATCAGATACCCTTCACTGGTTTAGATAAAGATCCAAGACCTAAAGATATTTCCACAACCTTGCACCTGAAACCGTCCGACATTGAATTTAATTGGGAAAATAGGAGTGGGGTTAAAGGTCTCCTTGCAAAATTTCTGATGGAGAAAGCTCACTTGTTTCTAGATGCCATGAGTTTTCATGCTTTCGGAGATGTTTTAGCTTTACTAATCTATGGTGTGGTACTATTCCCCAATCCAGACCAACTTATATATGTAAACGCAATCAAGATATTCCTCACTCATAATCTTGTGCCTACTTTTCTCGGAGATATTATGCATTCTGTTCACACTCATACCATGAGGAAGCAAGGAACTCTCATGTGTTGTATACCTTTGCTATCCAGGTGGTTTATTTCACACCTTCCCCGCTGATAATGAAGAATGAATAAGGTTTGAGGTGGTATCAAAGGATAATGTCACTCTCTTATTCAGACATTTATTGGTGTTCCCGATCCCAGGAAGACATCATTATTATTTTGGACTAATGTGCTCAAATGAAGTTTCATGCATTTTCTCAAACATTTTTCAACTTGTACCAATCATAACTCTCTCAAATTTCATCATTTTAAAGTGATCTTTGACTTTTTGAAAATATCAAGATGTCCTTTACAATCTCTATGGTTATCATCTTTGCATTTGAAGAATTTATCTTGATGTAAGTTTCCTTGACAAAAAGTGTCTTTTTGTTGACTTTTGAAATCACCTATAATGTCTTGGCCCATATCTCTTAAATGAAGCACTTTTGACTTGAGCTTATAGATACCAAGTTATAGAGAATTGAACTTCCTTAAAAATTAGCTTTTATTTGGGAAAAACATATGAAGCATGTGAAAGTTATGCTTGGTCAAAGTTCAGTTGACTTCTCCTAAGGAAACCCTAATTTGGCAACTTTTAACTTTTGATGATTTGAGGGTTTTTCTTTAGGAATCATGATCAATCCTTGAACAAATTATGAATGTGACTTTAAAATATTGATGTTGACCAAAAATATTGAAGTTTAACTATATGTTGGCCACATTTGACTTTTTACCCTATACAGTTAATTTTCCATCGTCTGAGCAATTGACTGAGAAAACTTGTGATGCAAGGCTTGAAATATGACATGAGGATTATTTGAAGCATATGAGGAGTCATGAAAACCATTTGAGGCATTATAAGTCCAATTTACTTTGAGAAAAGCAAAACTCTTGTTGTAGGCTAATTACTTAGGAGAAGACTTGTCTCATCAATTCCTTGAGTAATTTTGAGCAATTGAGAACCCTGGGAAGATGAGGAGACCTCTTGAAATAATTTTATTTAAAAATGAGAGGGAAAATTTCTGGGCACTTAAAGGTTCAATCCTCTCCCATTTATAAGGTATCCCTATATGTTGCATTCAATGACCATAACGACGACCCTACGCATGTCCCTTCACATCTAATGGATTGGCCTACCTATCGACTAATGGTGTGGATAGCACCATCCATAACGGAGAAAGAAAAGGATAACAGAAGACTTTTCAGTGGGTAAGATACCCTTAATTTCTTTCTCACAAACTAAAATAATTTTCACACCTCACACTTTTAGAACAACTACTTTCAAACGCTTTATAAACACTCTTGAGGACTGATCAAAGCGTTATTATAAAGCAGACTGCCTTACATTGGCATTTTCAAAAGTGACTTACATTGGCATTTTTAAAACCCTTTCAAAGTACACACAAAGAAAATTAAAGTGAGTTAAGAAATTAAGAGCCCGCAGATAACTACAGATGAAGAGGGTGCTAACACCTCCCCTTTTCATAACTTACCCCCCAAACTCAAAATCTATCAAGGTCTTTCATGTTATTTTCACCCTTTCCTTATTAGATAAAAGAAAAGTTGGTGACGATTCTAGCTATCCCCAATATTTATAATAAAATGCAAAGCCAAGTTAGTTCTCCCCATGTGTTATAAATATGATCTTACCGGTTGATTAGAACCTACAAGGTGGATGGATGATGATCTTCAGATGGGCTGGAAAGTCGAGGAGGAAAAGAGGGGTTGTACCTGCAAGGAACTTTGATGATCAAGTAAGTATGTGAGAAAAAGAGATACAAGCAAAGTATTAGGGTTTTAATGATGAATAGTCAATATTCGATACCTGGCCCTCACATGAGTGAGGGTTTATATAGTGCCCCTGAAGCTTGGCTTTTGGTCCTTATTTTTGAGCCTTGATATGCGGGTACGCAAAAATAGGTAACTACCAAGACTTGGTAATACCGGGCAGGTGTACCTGCAACTAACCGTTAGTTTCGAGGAGGAGGTAGGTTACAAGCAACGGTCTGGTCGGCTCCTGGTTATCTTGCCGACTTAAGGTCGGGGAGACTGAGAGGCGCTCGTCCATTGTCATAGGTCAGTGCTGGTCTAGGAGGGAAAACTTCGATGGTGCCTGAGAGAGAGCATGGGAGCCCAAGTCGTGGTCACACGGGCCGTGCCGAAGGAGGAGGTCAGACTGGGACCACTCTAGCCGTTGTGCCACTCCAGAACAGTAGTCCCCCAAGTCGTGGTCACACGGGCTGTGCTGAAGTGATGACTTTAACATCTGTTCATGGAATGGGGTGCTTCTTATGGGGAGCGTGAGCATTGCCCATTGTTCCTTTCTCGTGGGTATATGATTAGTTGGTTGTTTGAGCTTCAAAAATTAAAGAGGTAGTGTGTTTTAGGTAGTGCACTGATGTTGTGGCGCAATGATGTCCTAGGGGATAGGGTGCAATGATGATGATCCCACGGTTCCCTGGGCGTGTGCGTCTCACGCGCGGGTAAGTTTAGCTATAAATACGAGAGGAGTAAGGGATTCTGCATTTTTCTTTCTTATCTCACATTGCTTGTTATTACTCGCCCGTCGATCACAACTGAAGATTAGTTGTTCTCCGCCGTTCCTTTCAACTTCCTTCCTTCTTTAATTGGTAAGATTCTGGATTTTTCGTTGTTATTTAGCTGTTGTAGCCTAGATTTTCACATTTTTCTTCTTAGAAATGCACGCGGTTAGGCTTAGGATCCTGTCTGTTAGGGTGTTCTTAGGGAGTGTTGGTGGTAGACGATGGTTCTATAGTTTAGATCGCCAGATTCGTCGTGGATCCTCCCAGGATTTTTTCACGATGTTTCGTTGATGGTTCTTGAGGATTTAGGTCCTTTTGCTGACTGGAGTTCGCCTAGTTAGGGAAAGTGGTTGTTAGTTTAGATTCCTTAGTGATGGTTCTAGTTGGGGACATGGTCCTCGTTTATCAACGCCCTTTCACTTTATTAGTGGTGGAAGGGTGGTTTTGACATTAATGTCGACCTCACCTCTATCCTCTTCTTTTCAGGTACTACGACAGATAATGTCGAAGGTGACATCTTTGAGGAACCTGTTGGGTATTCTTAAAAGTTCTACGGATGAGACTCATAGCACGCCGAGCATCTTGGAGATATCTGGGGACGAGCCAGACCAACTTGATCAACAAGTATGGGGAGAGGATGTGGAGATGGCCCCCGTGTTGTAACCGGTTTGAAAATGAGAGTCGCCACCCTTAATTTTTATCTTTGAGAAGGGAATATAAAGGATAACCCTAATTTTTTGTCAGAGATTTTAGGTTGTTGGACTCGTTCTTAGACAAAGGGAAGGTGTTAGGCACCCCTCATCTACCTTATTCACAAGGATACTAGGGTTTAGAAACGCAATCTTTAAAAAATAGGGTTTTAGTTTTTATTAGGGGAACTCGCCATGATTTTAGTCGTATGCCTACGTATTCTCTTAGGAGGAATCAAAGTCCCAATTCGTAGTTTGTAGTTGGTTGGTGTTTTTATAGGATTGCATTGAATTGATTTCAAATTTATCCTTGAACCTTGTCTGGGTTTGAAAACTGAGTGATTGTAGACGCAGTTCGCAGTTAACTTTGAATGAAATTCTATTTAATCCTTTTTCGAAAATATCTTTAATTTTTGATTATGTTAGTAGAAAAACGTCTGAATTGTTGTTGGTTAGCTATTTTGAATTTTGATTTGGTTAAAGAGTGTGATAAGATAAGACGCGGAGCGGGGGGAGTCTGATATAGTCTCCTCATCACGTGGCCAGATATTGGCCACGTATCTCCCGCGGATGGAGTAATTGGTGAGTTGCGTGGGTTTTAATATTTTGATGTAAAATATTAAATTAATTTAATTTAAGACAAGGTTTTGAATTAATGTGAATTAAAAAATAGATTTAACTAAATAATCCAATAAAATATATTTTGTATTTTGAATAATTAATTGGTAAACGTTAAGTCTACCGTTAATTACTCGAGGATGTGAAATCTGATTACTGGTAATATGTCGAAATTAATTAGTTTTTATAATTTTATAATGATATATATATTTTTTATAGAAATTAAATAAATAAATAAACAAAAGAAATAACTAAATTAAAGGTGGTGCTAAATTCATAAGGGGTGTCGCTATTAGATTAATATATGACCTAAGGCCCATTTCAATATTTGTTAAAGTTAATCCTAAAAACTAAAAATAAACTAATAATAATAGCAATAATATAAGTAATAATAAAGCATAGAGAAAAAGTACTGATCCCAAATTATCTCTTCCTCCCTCACGGTATTCCTTCTTCTACCTTCACAATCCTTCTTTTCAATTTCTTTCCAAACAAAACCAACACTCATAAATCTCATACGCAACCTCATTAAATCAAGCATGTCTTAATTAAACCACATGAATAAAAATCAGAATGGAAAATAAAATGGAGGATTCCGGTAGAGAATGACTTTGCGAATCTGAGTTGAATTGTGATGATTGCACAGAGGCGGCTGCGGTTGTATCCGAATTTGAAGGGGAGATGGTCAGATCATGGAAGTTTCGATGGTGGATCTCCGACGACGTTTTTGTTCTGTGCGAAACGGAGGGATCTCGTCGGTGTTTTCACTGGCTGAGTTGTGTGTGCAGTTCTCGTCGTCAGATTAAAGATTCGTCAGATCTTGTGGTGGCATCGACGACTTCTGATTGAAGGTGGGTTGGCTGCATCGGTGGAAGGCTCTGTTCAGCTTGTGATGTTTTGTTATAATGTTGTTTTCCAGGTTGTTGATTAAGACCAGTGGGTTTGCGGCCGAGCTGTTTCCTCTTCCTGTTTCTTTGACTTTGTATATTGTTTGTTTTTATCTCATTGTTAGTAGTGATTGGATAAAGTAGAAATCAAAGCTCATTAGAGATAAAATTCATAAACTTTGCAGTTTGTTAGTTGGAAGTAGATACAATATATCAAATATTAGAGTAATAATGATATATGAATTGAGGCAGTGATGATGTTGTATATAAGTTTTGCAACACAAATTGATTTCAAGAACTAGTTGGTTAATTTTTTCTAAGAACTAAATTAGGGACACCCTGTATATTTACCAAGATAATACTAATGACAAACATCGTGAGTTGTAATCACATATAAGTTAGGAAAATGTTAACATAAACAAAATAGTAGCAATAATTCATATATTTACATGAATCTATTATGATGTTTATAAGTAAGGTGATCCAAAACCAAAAGCATAAATTCTCCATAACTGTGTACAAATATGGACGACGTGTATTGAATGTGTATGGTCTGTGTGCAATTGTGAATTGAGAGAATAGTTAGTTTTGTCAAGAAATAATTTTTGAAAACAACTAGATCATCAAATCATCATCATATGGTTAAAATAACAAACCAGTTAAAAAAAAATTTTAAAATTAGAGGGAGGCCTCATATGAAATCATTGGCCAAAAACAAAAATATCACCAATAGCTTTAAAAAAAATAGAAAAGAAAGTGCAACAGTAAGTGTGAATAAAGTGGTGAATTGTGGAATTTCTGGATGATTGTTCTTGTAAGATGAAATTGTTAATGAAAAATTAGGACAACAATGAGTCCTATTTATAGACTTAGAATTAGGTTAAAAATACTTGGAGACTAAGTTATCCAAAATAAATGAAAAGCCCAAAGCCTGATCTTCAAAAAAGAAAAGAAAATTAGTGACAAAAAGGAATAGAAAAAAATGTTAAAAGTGCACCATAAGAGATCTGAACCCGCGACCTCATACTTGCAAGCTTAATTCCTTGCCAACTGTGTTATATTACTTATTCAAAATAAAAGCCAATTGAAAGTACAGGAAGACGAGCAAGTATTTGTTTATAAAAATAAAAATGATTTGAAATAAATTATTATATTTTTAAATAGGTTTGGAAGCGAATATTTATAAAAATCAAAGAATATTATAAAACCAATATTTTTGACCGTAGAAATAAAGGGAAGACAAATTTGGGTTATGACACCCCGCTGATCAGGGTGGCCTGTTTGCGCCTAACAACGATGAAGACCTGAGGACATGGGTCATAGAGGATCCTTGGGATCATGGGTGCTATTTTATCGAGCACTGGGACAATGTTTTTACCAACGTATCTTCGTGCTCGGTCGATGATGACGACACATAAGACTGGTCGTTGTGGGTCCTTAGAGAGAGCAGTCGGGTCTACTCGGAATATGACAAATGGAGGATCCCAATTTATGATATAGTGTTTCAGAAGATGGGCCTCCATTTTCCTTTTTTAGATTTCAGGTGGCCATTTTCAGGCATCTCCGACTGGCTCCCTCTCAGATGCACCCGAGTGGGACCATTTTCATGCGGGCGTTCAAGATTGTGTGTGATTACTTGAGGATAGGGGCCACTATCCCTTTGTTCTTCTACTACTTTCACCTTTAGAGGAGCAAGGTCGACAGAAAGTGGGGATGGTTCGCTTTGAAGCAAGCCAATGGGAAGTTGTTCAAAGCTTATTTGGAGTATGTCTGATCTTTCAAGGACAAATACGTGCTCGTTCAGCCTGTCTCGGACATGGCTATGCTGAACGTCTTCCAACTTGCCCTAGCGTATAAAGAGGATGGGGCTCCTATTTTAATTGATAAAGGAGAGCATCAGAACAAGTTGGTCCATAAATTCCCCTTCCAGTAGACTAGGAAGCACTTTGACAGTAAGTTGGACACTTATGTGTGGAAGGAGGGGCAGCTCGATGACGAGGACCAGAGGAGCTTCGATCTTCTGTCCGCCTTCGTCACGGGAATCCCTCGTGTTTAGTGCACGGGCCGAGGAGGAAAGTAGGTTAGAGACAAAGACGGAAAGATCGTGTATGAGCCTGGAATTATAGGTGTAAGGAGCTCCTCGAGAACCTCGTTAAATACTTGGGTATTTTCTTTATGTTTTGAATAATTATATATGGTGGACATTTTTAAGTCCTCATTTGCTAACTCTGATTTGTTGTTTTTTCTGTAGATAGCATGAATCTTTCCAAGGAATGCATAGCCAAGAACCTTGTGGTGAAAGCAAAGAGAGCGTTGAAAGATGTTCAGGGCCGTACATGGACTGCTCCAACGTCAGGGTCAGGCAACTCGTCCTCGGGTCTGGCTGTTGGCGCCCTCTCTCCCGCTCTTATGTCCTCTAAAGCGAAGAGACCACGCGTCGAGGGGAGCATTGATCTGACCGGAGAAAATGGAAAGGGAAGTATGATATGCCCCCTGCTGGCTGGAGAAGGCTTTCTTCGAGGGTGCCTCTCTACAACTCCAATGGGCTGAGTCTCTTCACCTTGAGGGGCTGGAACACCCGGAGAAAAGGGCGACTCTTATGCAGGATGCTGGTGGTCTAATGAGGATACTGGAGAGACGAGGAGAAAGCTCGAAGGCTGGCCGAGGAAGATCTGGGGAAGCTAGCCGAGGAGCACAAGGTCTGGATGCTTGAGAAGAAATCTCTGGAGGGGAGGGTGGTGGCTTTGGTTGCCGAGGAAATACCCGCTGAAGACGAGCCAGAGAATACGAAGGACTTGAAAACCCGAGCTAAGGTGGTTGCTAGTTTTCAACTGGAGATGGATGGTGCTCAGGCCGCCTCTAAGGGGAGCTTCGAGAATACGTTGAAGAAGCTCTGTGTTTTGAATCCTGGGGTCTAGTTTAATACCTCCGAAATGGGGGTTAATTACTATGTGGCCACCGGAAAGATCCTGGTTCCCAACTATCTTAAGGAGTTTATTGTCCATCCCGCCGGGGGACCCTTTCAGTTGTCGCCAGTTGTCGAGGAAGAGACTGAAGAATGATGATTGATAATTTTTTATTCCGCTCCGGACTTTGTGCCATAACGTTGTAATCTTGTTTTTCCGGACTTTTTCCCATTTATGTAAGTTCTGAACAAGTGTGTCCATTTTGGACACAAAACTATTCTTTTGGACAGGGGGCTAAAGGCCTCCCTTATTGTAATATTTGTACAACAGCGGCCTGTCGATCATATATTTTAATTATCCGGCCATGGTGGTCGTTTGTTCCAAATACTTGACTTGTTTTTGCATGTTTATTATTATGTTTGTCTTCTTGAGACATATTTTGTTTTGCTAAGAGTTTATAGTGTGGATTTTCTCATTTGATTTGTATGTTCGCCAGTGTGGGGAAACTGGACAAACAGCCAGGGTGAATACCGGGCATGGGTCGGAACTCAGGTCTCGTTTTGAGGACCTGAGCTTAGCAGCGTGAACTTCTCGTTGCGAGCTGGGTTTTCTAGCATCGTGGTATAAGGACGATGGAGATCGGTCGAGTTATCCATGTCGTTCTGAGGACACGCTCAATAAAAGAGTGGAGTCTCGCCCCTTTAAAATATTTTGGGTGCTATGCTTGTACCTAGGCATGCATGCGTGGTCGGGCCTGGATGATTTTGTCTTGTTGATGAAGCTCATGAACTGCTCAGTGTTTTAACTATAATATTGTTTTAGCTTTTCAGCGTTCCATGGTCGAGAAAGTTGTTCCCCATGTAGATTTTCTAAGTATTACTCCCCGATCCCTGTTTTTGAGTAGACGCGATAGAGGCCTTCCTAGTTCGCTGCGAGCTTGCCTTTGCGAGATTCTTTGCGATTTCTCTTCAAGATAAGGCTGCCAATCTAGAACTCTCATTGTGCGTATTTGGTGTCATAGCGCATGGATATTTTTTATTTGAGAGAGGCCTCTCGTAGGGTCGTTCCTGTTTGGATCTCTTCGACCATGTATAGTTCTTCCCATAGGGGGGTGTTGTTTATCTCCTTGTCTAGAGTAGCTTCAATTATCCTGGAGGGTTCTTCGATATCTATAGAAATGATGGCATCCGCTCCATAAGTTAGTCGGAAAGGAGTCTCTCGATTGACGAATGCGCTGTTGTTCGAGACCCCCAGAGTATGCCGTGTAGCTCCTCGACCCAATTTTCTTGGTTTCGTCTAACCTATGCTTCAGACCCCTGAGTATCACCCTGTTCGCAGACTCGGCCTGGCCATTCGTGTGGGGATGTTCGATAGATGCGAATTGTTGGGTGGTGCCCAACTTGGTGACAAATTACTGAAAGGTATGATCTGTGAACTGGGTCCCATTGTCGGTGACTATTGCTTGTGGGATGCGGAGCCGATCAAGGATGTTTCTTTTGTAGAAGCGAAGGACGTTTTGGCGGTAGTTTTGGCCAATGCTTCTGCCTCTGTCCATTCGGTGAAGTAGTCAACGGTTATTATCAAATATTTGTTTTGATTTGTACCTACCACGAACGGACCGAGGAGGTCTAACCCTCACCAGGCGAAGGGCCAGGGAGAAGACAAGGACCTGAGCTCGTTTGGGAGAGCGAAGTGCATGTCCTCGTGCCGTTGGCATTTGTCACATTTCTTTACATGCTCTTTTTGTATCGTGCTGCATGGTGTGCTAGTAATACTCCGCTCGCAGAGCTTTTATGGCGAGGGATTTTCCTCCCAAATGTTGGCCGTTTATCCTTCATGGATTTCGAGCTGGAAGTGATCCGCTTCACTTTGGTCGATGCATTTGATGAGGGGGATGGGAAACCCTCTCCTGTAAAGCTTGCCTTTGACTAGGACATAAAAACAGGCTCTTCGCTTGACCCCTGCCATTTCCTTCGAGTCGACGGGAAGATCTACTCTTGTTAGGTATTTGTGTACCGGGGTCATCCAGTAGTCGTCATCTCCTATGGAGAATACTCCCAAAGTCGAAGGGGTCTCTGGATGCTCGGTCGAGGAAGAATTTAATGTATCACCGACTTGTTCCCCCTTTTCCTCTTTGTGCTCGCTAGTTTGGACAAGATATCTGCTCAGACGTTATGTTCGCGAGGAACATGTCGTACGTCCATGAATTTGAATTTCTTTTTTATCTCTTGGACTAGGGCCCAATACTCAGCGAGGTGGCCGTTTTTCACCTGATATTCTCCTCGGACCTGAGATGCAACGAGCTGAGAGTCAGTGAAGATTTTCACCTCCTCGACTCTCAGGTCTTTGGCTAGGCGCAAACCTGATAGGAATGCCTCGTATTCGGCCTGGTTGTTTGAGGTCAAGAAGGATAATGCAAGGGAGATCTCGATTAGGGTTCCTTCTTCATTTTCCAATATAATTCCTGCGCCACTTCTTATCGAACTGGAGGTGCCGTCGACAAAAATTGTCCATTGGCGCGCCCTGTCCTTGGGTGCGGGCGAGGTCATGTAGGCCACAAAGTAGGCTAATGCTTGAGCTTTAAGGGCTTTCCTTCCTTCGTATTGGATTTCAAACTCGGAGAGTTCTAACGACCATTTCAACATTCTGCCCGACATGCCAGGCCTATCGAGAAGCTGCTTTATTAGTTGATTTGTTCAAACGACTATGGTATGTGCCAAGTAATAGTTCCTGACTCTCCTCTCCACATTGATGAGGGCTAGGGCCACCTTTTCAATTTGCTGACATCTTACTTCGGGGCCCTACAGGGCCTTGCTCGTAAAGTAAATATGCCTCTACCCATATGGAGTTTCTCTGATTAGTGTTACGCTTATTTACTCCGGGGTGACGACCAAATAGAGATGGAGGATTTCATCCTTCTCTGGTCGAGAAAGGATGGACGTTGCATTAGTGCTTGCTTCAAGTGTGTGAAAGCTTTCTTGCATTCAACCATCCATTTGAAGGTAACTTCCTTGTGGAGGAGTTTGAAGAGGGGGAGCGCGTGCTGAGCGGATTTTGCCATGAATAGAGAGAGAGAGAGAGAGAGAGAGAGAGAGAGAGAGAGAGAGAGAGAGAGAGAGAGAGAGAGAGAGAGAGAGAGAGAGAGAGAGAGAGAGAGAGAGAGAGAGAGAGAGAGAGAGAGAGAGAGAGAGAGAGAGAGAGAGAGAGAGAGAGAGAGAGAAGTGACCATGTTGTTCAGGATTTGAATGTACTTTTTTGAAGTGGGCGTTGGAAACTTAGAAAATACTAGGCATTTATCGAGGTTTTCCTTAATCCCTTGTTCTGTGAGGTAGAATCTGAGGAATTTGCCTGCCCGTACGTCAAAGGTGCATTTTTCTGGGTTAAATCGCATCCAACACTTTCTGGCCTGATCGAAAACTTTCTTCAAGTGGAGAGCATGGTGAATTTCTTCCTTCGATTTGATGATCATGTTGTCCATGTAGACTTCGAGCATGTCGCGTATTTTGTTGCGA